GTCTGCACCCGTGGTGGTCCTCATCCTGTTAATTTGGATGGCCCTATAAATATTTGAGCATCCTAACTTATATAAGATATCAAATTTCCGCCAAGCACATGGAAACGAGTTTGCAGGACTAGTATCGAAGGAAAAGGTGACATGATTGAGAAGGTTTTGAAGGAATATGATGAAAGGTGTGATTTTGGTCAGTTCTTCCTGAAGAAAGCTGATGATGTTTTGCTACCACTTGCAGTTCTGTATCATGATTTGACGTACTCTGCATATAGCTTCACGCCATTCTAACTTAGGCCATAGAGCAGCTCGGGTATCACTAGTACTATGAATGTTGAAGTCCGACCTCACATGGATTGCATGATCGTCTACATTTTGCTTTAGGAGATAGCGCCTTTGTAGTGCCTCCATTTTGTTCAATCCTTGGTAGTCTGTGCGCTCGTTCTTGTGAGGCAAAAGAGACTGCACTAATTCATGTGTTGATATACCTAAATGATGCACTCAGATACATAATAGGGGATGTTAGCTACACGGACTATGTCATGGTGTGCCCCATAAGAGTATAAGAGTGGGACTTTGGCTTGTAATGACTTCATCTCCGCCTAGTAACTTATCCAATTATGATGTATTCATATATCCGCTTCAGTTCCTCGACAGGTCACGGAAACGGAGTGACATAATAGGACAAGCAAATTCACCAACTCCAGGGGCGCAGGGCTCCAAGGCTCACTCGTTAGCACCCGAGCCGGGCTCCTTCAAGCAGCAAGGAGGCCTCGAGAAGGTTTACTCGGTGGATGCCGGGCGCAGCAGACAACCCCCGATGGTCAAGTGTCAGGCAACATCAGCAACATTAGGCGTCTCCTGCTGCTCCTCTGACCCCCTACACGACGAAGCCAAGGCCCATCCACGCCGCGGCAGCACCCTTCTGCACCCGGTGCATGAAGACCACAGACCAAAACCCCCAAACCAACTTGTACCTGACCTTCCTCGGAATATAAGGGAAGGGTTGGCTCCCATAGAGGGAAGAGGGCGAGAGATTAGACATCCAGAGGCCGATTTGACAGGAGAATAATTGGCCAGAGAGCAACCGAGAGGAACGGTAGTGAGTTCCTCCCCCGACAACCCAGCAAGAGAGAGGGTCGGTCCCTTACTCACTGGGAAGAAACCTCACCGCCGACGAGCCGTAGGATAGCACCGAGCGATGCCCTGCCAAACTCTCATTCTCCTCCATTGTAACCCCCCGATTTGGGTGCTCCTGAACACGAAGAACACCTCATTGCTAGACGTAGGGCCTCGATAGCCCGAACCAGAATAAACCGTCGTGTCTCCCTTGTGTTTTTGAGTACCCGAGCCACTGGAGATCCACACTTTTGACATCCGACGGACAATCACAATGCTTGCCATACGAACCCATGATACCTTCCAATGATAGTGTATTATCACTACTGTTTCATCAAACCAGCACTGATAGTCCACCCCCATCACTTCCGATTATCCTCTACCACAAGCAATTCTGGCAGTGATAGGGGGTTCTTACCGACAGTAATCTGATGTTCTGGTGTAGTGATATTAACTAGTACCTTAATGTATGCATACATTTGTTCTCAACGTATGAAGGTATTTTGAATGAAATGGTGAAATATTGGGCCTAAAATTTGGTGTGAAACCGAGACTTCAAATATTGCTGAAATTTAAAAATTGGAATAGAATTTCAGTCCCTATTCTCTTTGAACCAAACCGGCGGCCTTTGAGATACATTTTGAACGGTGGTTCTTTTAAGCCAACAACCCCAGAAAATATGTTTGCAAATACTGTTGCCTTATCGAAACCAGCATTGAAGAAGTTTACATGATGGTTGAGTCAAGGAAACTACATCTAAAAACGTATTTTCAGCGCGGTTGTCATAAGGCCACCGTACCTGAACATCTATTTTATCGGGCGGTTGTCCTAAAGTGACCATCCCACTAAAACCTATTTTCAAGGCTAGACTAGGATCATGCCTGTGCATTGCAACGGTTATATATAATACCAAAAAAATAATATCACGATCATTCAAATTGCAGCCCGAGGACAAAAATTGCATGCATAGCAAGAGGAATGGACATTTCGGGTAAAAATAATGTCATGAAAATTCAAATTTAAGCACGAGGACAGGGATCGCTAGCCTGACTCCAACAGAGGCCACCACCTGCTCATCCATCGCAGGCACGGGGTGCCAGCATGGAGGCCAAAACAATCCTCCAGGAGACAAGTACAAGGACGGCTAGTGGCTGGGGGCGAGCAGGCTCAGGATGGGGCTAGATGGATGAGCTGCTGCGGCCGTCCGCAGCCACAGGCCTGTCATCACCATCCGCAGCGTCAGCAGGCCCCAGGTCCCGTGCGTGCGTGCGTGCTTCGCCCTAGGCAAAGCGGCAGTGCGGGGCAGGCCGACACAAGCGCCCCATACGCTCATCGTGCGCGTGGTGTGCCGTAGCAACACCAGATCCGGCTATCCCGACGCACAGGCAGCAAGACGACAACCCGATCCCACTGCAGTAGAAAGGGACGAAGGGGAGAGGCGGAGGCAGCAATACCTGTGGCATGGCAGGGGCAGGGCTACCAAGACACCAAGTAGGAGAGAAGTACGGGAGCTTCCGCTTCTGCCAACGCCGTGGTGGAGGAGATGAGGGGTCGTGAAAGCGAGGGGACGCCGCCTCCGCCGCCGCACTGGGGGCCGGTACGCCCGTGTTGGGGCTGCCGCTCTGGCTCCCCTTCGACAACGACGAGCGGGCAGGATGGCGTGCACGTCGCAAGCGCACGGCGAGGACGACGGCGTGGGTGCGACGAGCGCGCGCTGCGAGGCTGAGGGCGAGGGCAGAGCGAGGACTGCGGGTGCGCGGGGGAAGGATTGATCTTGCCTTCCGGGGGAGAGGGATCGAGACACGGGGCGATTGGATGCCGGATCGTCGCAGGGGAAGCGAGCTATCGTGCGACGCGATCTATCTTCGGGATCATAGCGCGAGGGAGAGGAGACCGGGCCCAACGCGCGAGCGGGAAAGCGAGGGAGCGCACGGGGGAGCGAGCAAAGCGATGAGGACGATTGCTCTGGACATTTTTTTAGTATGGAGATGGAGATTTGTTAACGGAACCACCCCTTAAATATGCTTTTGTTTTGACCGTTACTAAAAATTGTTTCCGCAGTAGCTCGTGAGAGATTGTCCTTCCACGCCATTCAGCGGTCTGATCTGACCAAAAGGCTGTTAGATGTACGAATAACTTTTGGTGGATTACTTTTAAAATATTCGTCTACATGTTTATCTATCTCTTCTTCTTCTTCTTTCTCTTTCTCATAATAAAGAGCTAAAATTTCTGCCTTTTTTTTCGTCACATTTTTTTCGTCTGGCCATACCGGCCCCTCCGTGCGCTCGGAGGCAACGTCTCCTCCTAGGACTCCCCCAACAATCCGCGCAGGCAACACGAACATATGGCATGCTACAAATCGAGACCACCACGGATCCGATCGAGACAAAAATCAAGGCACCATCGAGGAAACCAGATCGAATAAAAACCAAATCGAGATAACCATGGATAAATTTGAGAACAAACAACTCTTACTGGCCACGCCGGCGAGGTCGCCGTGCAGACAGGAGGGGATTCGGCCGCGTCGAAGCCGAGCACATGCATATAGTGTGGAGACAAAAATCACGGTATTCGAGGCCACCAATAAGAAAATCGGACCAAAAAACACCAAATCGAGGCAATCCAAGGATAAAATCAAGACCAAATTGAGGACAAACAACTCAGACCTGCCAAGCCAGCGAGGTTGCTCTGCAGATGCAGACCGGAAGCACATTGTCCATGGATGACGAAAAAAAACAACAGACACGTAGAAATTTCCATCCATCGGCGACTACGCCAACATATACAAATTTCCAACAATCAACAACAGTGCCCTTGTGCCTTGGCTGTCGCTCAAAAACAGTAGCTTTGCGCCGCTCCCGGACTCGCGTGGGCCCTGGTGCGGCCGTAGTCCAGTTTGCCCCCCGACGCAAGCAAAGGCCGGTGGAGGGGCGGAGCAGGACGAGGGCGCCACAAGTTCCGAGCGGCAAGCTCTAAGGACGGCGGCGTGGAGAGGCAGCTCTGAAGATGGCGGCGCGGCAAGCTACGAGCGATGCGGCTCGGCAGACTCCGAGGGCCCGGAGTTCGAAAGGGCGGGCGCGGCTGTTGCTGGGGAGTCACCAGCGGCGGGTGTGGCGGACACGCCCAGGCACTGCAGCGTTTAGTTGCGTGCGGTGGATAACGTCAAGAACTTTTTTACTATGGTTGGGGAGGCGTCAGGAAGCGTTAGTTGTGTCAATGATTGATGGGCCCATATGAGGGAAGGCATTGAGAGACGTTAATGAGGGAGGCGTCAGGAGGCGTTGGATGTGTCTATGGTCGGTGGGCCCATATGCGCGGTAACGCCTCCAAAGTTGAAAGGATTAGGACTTCAAATAAAAGAGTGGCAATTCTTTTTTCGTAGTTATTTTATTTAATCAAGGGTAAAATGGTAAATCCACAATTATAAAAATAATATTTTGATTAGTATAGTTAGGATATATGATTTAAGTACTATAGTTATATGAATATTTGCTTTTAAAAAAAGATGAATATTTTTTGTCTTTCAGGGTTCATTCGCCGCCACCATCCGCCATCCGTCCGCGGGAGGACCTCGACGCGCTGCGCTGCTCCTGCATCGTCTCCCGCGAGATTCGGGCCCGACCCCTCCTCACCAGCCCTCAGCTCCCCAACCGAGCACATGGAGGCCGCGGCGGTGACTACGCTCCGAGTCACAGCAGCGGCAGCCGTCCCAAGGAGTTGAACCAGGATAATAAGTAGGATAGTTAGATGAATATTTTGTTCGTGAGTTCATTCTCCGTCTCTGTCTCTGTCTCTGCCGCCGTCCATCCGTCCGCCGCCGCCGCCGTCTACCGAGGGTAGAATGGGGGCGAGGCCGAAGGCAGGGCAGCGGCAGTTGCAGCCTGACATCACGGAGTCTCCGCAGAGATCCGGCTCCACGGGATGCCAGGTGCCATGGGATTGGAGCCTTGTGTGAAGGAGGAGGTGATGAAGGTGGCGGCAGAGGCGAGTTTGACAATGGCGCCGCTCTGGTGGCTGTTGGTGTGTGCATAGGTCTGCCCGTTCATCTCCAATTCCACCCCTCCCCTGTTGTCGTGCTCGCATTTCCCCTTCCACCATGGCGTGGTCCCCGGCGCCCGGAGCGCCCGAAGACCTGATCTGGCTCCACCTCCGTCGACTTCTTCCTCGTCTCCACCGCCGCCGCCGTCCTCACCCCCCACCGCCACCATCCTCGCCCCCACCTCCGTCTCCTAGATCTCCTGGATCTGCGTGATCTACTGATCTGTGCATCTTTGATTGAACCCTTTGATTCGACATTACTACTAATTGCTTATGTGCTTATACTGTCATGAATTTGCAATATTCAGTTAGTCTCTAATTACCAGCAGTCCCTGGGTTTGATGCATCTGGCAACAGGAGCAGCTCAGGGTCGATGGGTGGTTTTGATTCTTTGCACGATGGATTAAGTGATAAGCTTGCTAATGTGGCACGCAACATCCAAATGGAGGAGGATAAGGATGACGACGACGAATGGGAAGATGAGGAATTTGAGTTCAGGCTTGATCCGTTTAAGCGAGGTTCGACATGTTATGTTCGTCGTCTAAAATCTTTTGCAACCTATATGGTTTTGTTATCCTGTGTAAGCATTCAGGAATTAGTGGGTAAGTGTGTGGGCTAGAAATGTTTGCTATCCTGAAATCACAGTTAAATTGTGTGTTTTACTAGCTAATGTTCGTTAACAAAATGGGGAAATATCCTGAAGTATTGGTGTACATTTGTGAAAGTCTAAAGGGATAATTCTGTAAAGGCACAATTTAATGTTATATTGTTACTTTAGACCCTTTTTAACTTGTTATAAGGAATTCCCAGCCTTTGGATTTTACAAACACAGGATGCAGTAAGGGCTTTAAACTTTAAAATTAAAGTACTGTTGCAAAATGCTGCAAAAACCTGATCCACAGTTGGGGCTTGGGACAAGCCACTCTTGCAGCTGCTAGGTTGTGAAAGATTATTTTTCTATGTGTATGTGGTATGTGTGAGTAATTTTATTTGCTATGGTAGTATGATTCATGAATTTTAGCAAGGGCTGCTTTTGGTGATTATATTATTCAGTGCATTAGCTAGAGATAACTTATAAAAATGTGCAGTAACAGGTCTTCATTTTTTATGGAAGTGTCTTTCACTTTCATGGAAGCATACCTTTCTTTTTGCCGATTGGTTCAATAATGATAGTTGAGAAGGATACTTTCTAATTCTGCCATCCTCTGTGCTGATCAGTACTTCCTTTCTAATGACAACAATTTGTTTCTTTCATTAGTCACAGCATCGCATATATAGTTGGTGATTCTTCTGAAAGGAAACTGATCAATGTTTTTGCATAATGTCCAAAGTAACTGAGATGATGTACACCTTTGTTCCTTGTAAATAAGGCTCAGTTAAGGGAGATTCATGTACGACAAGTACTGATATCATTTTTATTTTTAGAATTTTGTATATTTATTGGAATTTAAAAAAAATGATGCGTTCAAGTACTGCTGTACAGTCTGTAGCTAGGGTGTACTCTGTTCTAACTTCCTGTGCTGTTGCGTTACTGTATTGTGTTGGCCGATTAAATTGATCTCAACCATATTTGATCTGCCGTGACTATCATGTACTCTGGTTGGTTAGCCTGTGTAATTAAATTCAGTTGATCTCACGAAGGAAACTAGCTGCTTAACCATCTTACGGTCTTCAAGGAGATCGTTTATGATCTACAGGCTATGGAGGAAGATTATGATGATGAAGATTTGGGTCTCATTCTTTTGTGCTCTTTGCCTAGTTTTTTTGCAAACTTCAGAGATACATTATTATATAGTCATGATACTCTAACTCTGGATGCTGAAGGTTCTGCTTCCAATGGAGAAGCGTTGTCTATTCGTGGGAGGATAGAAAATAAATCAAACAATGGCAATAGAGGCAAAAGTTCTAATGGTTACAAAGGCCGATCAAAATCTCGACACAAGGGAGATAAATTTTGCAAGTATTGCAAGAAAGTCAATCACTTCATCAGTGAGTGTTATAAATTAAAGAATAAAGAGAAGAGAACTGGCACATACAGAGAGAAAAGGTAAATCCAATGATGAAGGTAATGCTTCTGTTGCTGCTTTTTTGGCAGATAATTCTTCTGGTGATATGCTTGTTGCTTTCGCTGGATGTGCAAATAGTAGTGACGAATGGATTCTTGATTCCGCTGCTTCATTTCATATATGCATTAATAGAGATTGGTTTGTCACCTATGATTCTCTCTAAGGTGGAGGTTCTGTTAGATTGGGTGATGATAGTCCACGTGATATAGTTGGCATTGGGTCCGTTCAAATTAAGATGCATGATGGGATTGTCAGAACTTTGACTGATGTGAGGCATATTCCAGACATGAGCAAGAATCTTATTTCTCTTAGTTCTCTTGATGGTAAAGGGTACAAGTACTCCGGTGGAGATGGAATTTTAAAGCTGTCAAAAGGTTCTCTTGTTGTAATGAAAGGTGAACTGAAATCTCCAAATTTGTGCCATCTTCGTGGTACTATAATTACAGGTGATGCTGTTGTAATTTCTAATTCAATATCTAATTTTGATGCTACTAATCTTTGGCATATGCGTCTTGAGCATATGAGTGAGCAAGCATTGCATGAATTGTGCAAAAGAGGACTTCTTGATGAACATAACATCAGTAAGCTGAAGTTTTGTGAGCATTGTGTGTTTGGCAAACACAAGAGGGTGTCGTTTAATATCTCTACTCATAAAAGTAAAGGTATTCTTGATTATGTCCATTCTGATGTATGGGGACCATCTCGCAAGCCTTCTATTGGTGGTTCTCGTTATATGTTGACAATCATAGATGATTATTCTCGTAAGGTATGGCCTTATTTCTTGAAAGATAAATCAGAAGCATTTTCAACATTTAAAGAGTGGAAGGTTATGATTGAAAATCAAACTGAGAAGAAGGTTGAAAAGCTTCACACTGATAATGGGATGGAATTCTATTCTAATGAATTAAAGCATATTGGAAGTCTCAAGGCATTGTTAGGCACTACACTATTCCTTATACGCCTCAACAGAATGGTGTAATTGGGCATTAGAACAGAACTGTCATCTCTAAGGCCCGTTGCATGTTGTCAAATTCGGGTTTGGATAGGCGTTTTTGGGATGAAGCTGCTTCCACTGCTTGCTATCTTATTAATCGTTCACCCTGCATTACTCTTGGTAAGAAACTCCAATTGAGGTATGGTCTGGTTCTCCAGCTGATTATTTGCAATTGAGAGTTTTTTGTTGTACTGCTTATGCTCATGTTGATAATGGTAAATTGGAGCCTAGAGCTGCTAAATGCATATTTCTTGGTTATCAACCTGGTGTTAAAAGATATAAATTGTGGAATCCCCAGACTCGGAAGGTTGTGCTTAGTAGGAATGTTATCTTTAATGAATCTACTATGTTTTATGACAACCTATCTATTGATGCTCTTGTTGAGGGAGAGAAAATAAGTGTGCAGGTGGAGCACTTAATTGATGCACCAGATGTTGATAATGTTGTTGTCCAAGATGCACCTATTGCTTAAATTTCTCCAATGGTTGATGATTCTTCTATTGTTGAGCATTCTTCTCTAGTTGTGCAACCTCCACAACGTTCGCTGCTGATAGGGCTCGAAGGCAGCCCAAACCAGTTAAAAGGTTAATTGAAGACTGCAATGTTGCTTATGCTATGAGGCTTGCTTTTGGGCTGTGGCTTCGGCTTGGGCGGAGTATGGATGAGTGGTGACCGCACACGGCACAGGATCTCGTGACCGAACTTGAGCAGCCGACGTTGGGCTTCACCTAGCGATGGGGTGATGTCTGGGATGCCTGTCGCGCCTGAGCCCACTGGCGTTCCACAGATGCTGGCCGTGTCCAGGCCGTGGGCGCCATTGCCCTGTTCCCGGACGACAGGCGGCTCCTGAACGTCCTCACCCTCGGGTGTCACTGGCTCCCTCATGTCGTGAACTGGGGCATTAGCTGGTTTGGTGTCTTTGCATTGTCTGCTTCCTCTCCTGGGGCATCCATAGTGTGGGGGATGTCCGTCGTTGGGCGCTGTGCTGCGTCCTCCGTTGCATGGCCACTGAGGTTGAGGAGGTTGTCGTATGCAGCTTTCGTGGGGATAGCCTGGAAGGAAGTCACATCCACGGGATCCACTTGCATGTCGCACTCGCGGTTGGTTCTCCAGCCGCAGATTTCAGCACTTGGTGATGCCTCATCTGCATGATTGGCGATGTGTGAGGTCGTTGTCAAAGGGGGGCCACTGAGGAGCCCTGCCTTGAGGACCATGGGATCCGAGCATAGTTGGCCATGCAGCCCGAGCCCGTCGGCCTGGCCCAAGGCCCGTTTTTTTGGCCCGGCCCAAGCACGGCACGGCCCAGCGGCTAGCGGGCCCGTGCTGGCTCGGCCCGGAGGAGCAGGCCATGTCTGGGCCTTACCCCAGGCATGTGGGCCGGCACGGCACGGCCTGCTACAGAGCAGTCGGCTCACTAGCGACCTGGCCTGCGCCTCCCAACGCCCCCACGCCAAGGCAGGCATATAAGCGCACTCACTCCCGCCCGCCCCCGCCTCTCCCAGCGCCTCACCCTCACCCCGCCCGAACCCTAAATCCTACCCCGCGAGGCTTGCGCTTCCCTCTCGCCCCCGAGCTCCGCCCTGCTCCCTTCTCTGCTCACCTCGACGGATCCGGCGTCAAGCGCCCTGGCTGCCTCGCCTCCGCCCGCGCAGCCCCTTCCCCACCAGGGCGAGCACGCCGGCGGTGGCCGCCGCTTCCCGTGCGCCTCTTCCGCCTTCTCTGCGCACGGCGGCGTTTCCCTCGCATCAATGGCCGTCTCCCTCGCGCGCGGCACGACATCCGCGGCCAGATTCGAGCGGCGATGGACGGATTCAAGCGCGCCAGCAACCGCCGCCTCCTTGCCTCCCCGCGCGGCCCCACCTCCAGCCTCTCCGTATAGCGCGACGGCGGCGGCCGCCGCTTCCCGTGGCTGCCCTTGCCTCCTGCTCTCCCCTTCCCTCTCTCTGTGGGCCTCGGGCCAGCCTGGCACGCTTGGCAGGCCGTGCCTTCTCGGGCCGGCCCGGCCCAAAAAATGGCCCAGCAAACCATGCCTGGCCCTTGGTCAGGCACGACGCCCAGCTGGGCACGGCCCGGGTGGCACGCCGTGCCGGCCCGTTGGCCATATATAGATCCGAGGCAGGCTCGTCTCCAGTGGCGCTGTCGTGGAGCTTCGGTTCGAATTCAAACTGGCATAGGTCCCGCGAGTCAACTGCTGCAACTGGCGCTGGCTCCAACAACTCCTCTCGCGTTGCAACCGTGTTGATGCGGACGGTTCGCCTGCTTCCAGCTGCAGCTGCTTTTGCTTTCGGCAGGCCTTATCTGCAGGTTGGCAGGCGTGGAGTTGTCGGCTGACGTCATCGGCCGGGCGCCCACCAGGAATGCGAGGACCGTCTGCCGCACCTACTCCGCCGCCTTGATGGCCGTTCATGTGGGCCCCGACATCGCCGTTCAAGTGGTGGTGCTCCGGATTGCCGTCATGGCCGCTGTCCCCGTCGTCAGAGCTTGGTGGGCTGGCTGGCGGCGAGGGGTTCGCCGGATTGAAGTCTGCACAACGCTGCGAACGTGGATGATGACCCGGTATGTGAGGACGTCCTTGCGGCGGATAAACGGCGGAAGGTTTCCGAAGAGGATCGTGGCCTGCTCGCCGGCGATGATGACCTCGTTCTAGGTGACATGTAACCAGACGACCTTAGGGATGGCCCTCGGGTCGCTCGTCCAGGCGGTTAGCTTGAAGGCTGAGAGGTCCGCCTTGGACGCCGACGTCGGGTCGACCTCGTGCACCCAACAGCTTGGAGCCAGGATCTTGGCCACAGTGTCTTCTTCCCAGGCATGCGGCGGGATGCCTTCGAGCTCGAGCGTGGCCTTGAACTGCATGGACACAGTCTCAGCGTGCGCCAGGCGTGTCCAGGGGCGGAGCACCAGTGATGTGCCGGCCGCTGGCACTGGGGAGGAAGCGAGTAGGTTGTCGCGCACCTCTCGCGAATGACAGAGCACGATGAAGTTTTCTCGGAAGAATGGAACCACCGTGAACGAGCCCTCCTGGACACTATTGATGGATCTCAGAGCTCGGGTGGCATCAAAGGTGTTGACGACGACAGTTGCATCCGCCGCCATCGCCGTGAGAGCGTGACGCAGGTTAGCTTCAGCATCTTCAATGGCGGTAGTGCGCTGAATGATGCAGGCGCTCTCTACCTGCCTTTATGTTGGGTGGCCGAGTGACAGCGGCTCGCGGTCGTCGGTGTCGGTGTCATGCCGTGTCGGGCTGTCTGTGGGGGTGGAGCCACAATCCTGCGAGCCCTACGGCGTGGCTGGGCTGTTGGTCCGCCACACCCTGACGAAGTGCTGCTCAATGGGCGCGCGTCCGTCATTCCTGGCGTTCTCCGGCGACCTGTGCCGCGTGCAGTCTCTGGCGAGGTGTCGGAATCCACGGCAGCGCAGACACCGCAGAGGCATGCGGCAGGTGGCGATCTTGTGCCTAGAGGAGAGGCAGTTAAGGCACTTGTCACGCAGCGCGTCCGGGATGCGTCGACGTCGTGGTGGCCGGGCCGCCGGGGTATTCGCGCGGCCGTGTTCCTCTGGTCCTCCGGGTTCCGCGGCAGCACCACTCTCCAGCCGTCGGCGTCGGGGCCGGAGATGCGTCTGCGCCCTCTGGGAGGCACCCGTTGGCCCTCTGGGACGCAATCGCCGCCGACATGGCGCCCGCCGTCCACCCGCCCTCCCAGCTTGAGGTGCACTGGGATGAGCTCCCGGCTGGCTTGCTGCGTCTGTCCATCCCCCTGGCCGTCCCTGGGTCTGCATGCCCTCCTTCTTCGCTGACGGCGCTTGTGGCCCGTTGGCCGAACGGTAGCGAATTCTTGCGCGGCCTTCGCCGCCAGCTCTACGATGGCTCAGGTGGTGGATTGGGCGCTGGGACCGCCCCCTCGTGGTTGACCACCCTTTGCCGGAGAGCCCCGGCGGACGGCATCGAGGTAGGACCGTAGGATGACGGCAGCGTCTGTGAGTTGATGGAGTCGCAGTCCGGAGTAGTCGGAGAGCTCCGTCCATCGCATGGCTTTGGGGCGACCTGGCGTGCCACCGGGGTAGAAGGGTGGCGTGTGCGGGGAGAGCATGGATCCCTTACCTGCGGAGGCCCCGCAGAGGATTTGGGTGGCCACCAGTGCCGGAGAGGATGCCGGCAGGCTGGGTGGTGGGGCGGGGGTCTCCATGGGTCACAGGGCACACACTTCCAATCAGATCTTCACTTAAAGCGTGTTCCAAACAAAACTTGTTTTTTTTTTGGAGAAACATTTACAAAATGTCACATTTTGCAGTCTGTAGCTAATCCCGAGAAGTATAATGAATAGCTATGTTAGACGGGTAGGTGATTTAATATAATTATATCCTTGTACATATCCAGCAACAGGTCGAATTCTCAGACACAAAATTTATTTTGGTGAACAAATAAAATAAGTTCTCATCGTCGTCAAATGGAAAATACAAAAAGAATAATGTTTGCATGTAGCAGTACTAGAAAAGGTTAACAAGACTGTTAATGATTGTTGTGCCGGGAAATAACCAAGGCGCCACCCAGCTGATATGACTGGCACGTACCATATCACCTATTTATTTTCACCGAGTCCAAGTCAACGATCGACTACGTACCATATCGAACTCCCCATCATTTGTGCATATTGAGTTTCGATAATATTCAAGTTTATCGTGAGAGTAGTTAACCACGTCGTCGCAATGATATGGATCTCACATCTTCAATGACCATGTAGCATCCACCTCATTCGACCGCATAAAACTATCTAGTACTTTTTTATACATATATTCTTTCTACAAATGTGTATGTGTAGCCGTAGTAGTTCCTAACTGCACGCTGCTGTCAGAATCATTAGCAAAGGTATAATTTGAAATAAATGCTATCCCCAATAATTGGAAGAACTATAGGCTGCTTTATTATTAGCATAGGAGATGCGATTGCTCGTTGAGTTCTCTGAACCATGGCTGGTGGTGGCAAGTCCGACGGGTCGTCGGATGCGGCCAGCCTCGCCCTCCGCATCGCCACCGTGGCGCTGTCGGTGGCGTCGGCGGCCATGATGGCGTCCGCCTCCCAGCGCTCTTGCACCGGCTGCTCTCCGGCTACCAGCCAGGTCTCCTACAGCGACTACAGCTCCCTTAGGTACGCGCACCGGCCGTATATGCATCCATTCTTCTTCCTCGCATGAGGACCTGACAGGCTGACACCATTGCTGAGCTGATCATGGTACGTGGACGGCGGTGCAGTTATTGTCTAGTCGCCAACGTGATATCGGCGGCGCTGCAGGCAGCGGCGGCGTGGCTGACGGCGCGCGGCAAGGTGGACGAAAGCAAGGCGGCCAAGTCGCTGTCCGAGCTTGTCGACACCGCCGCGCAGGTGCTGCTCTACTCGTCGTCGGCGCTGTCGTTCTCGGTGGACGACTTCGGCACCTGCGGCCGCAGGGTCGCCGGCGTCTGTAAGGGCACCGGCGAGTTCTGCCAGAGGGTCCGCGCGTCGGGGGCCGTCTCGATGGCGGCGGCCGTCGCACTGGCTGCGTCCAATTACCTAAAGGACGTGCCGGCCTCGACATGGATCAAGTTCAAGGGTGATGAACCCAAGGCAAAGCCGGTTTGTGGCCGCGGCTGCCATTGCCACCATTAGCTCATCTCTGGGCCTCCCGTAGTCCCTTAGCCAGACGTCAATCATATTGCGAAAAAAAAACATATTTGGAGAGTTGAATCACGTGAATTTCTTGCTAGAAGAAACTGTTTCTGTGATTAAGCTCGAATTGAAATATTCAGAGTTCCTACTTTGCATTGATTTTTGTATTAATTCTGTTTGGACTGGAATTTCAGTTAGTACTTGGTACACACGACACGGTATTGTTTTCTGATTTGGTCGTAAATGTTTAACATCAATTTATACTAATTTTATTCGTGACATCATCCTGACATCAAGGCTTTTATCATGATCAAGGCTTTTATTTTGTAACCAGTAGCGAACATTGAAAGGTAGTTATTTAAATAAAAGAAAATGGTGCTCTCAGTTGTTGTACTTGTGCTGCGTTTGTTTTCAAAAAGGTCACAATCAAACATATAAACAACCTCTTGGGTGTTTCCATGTGACTGCATCCCCAAACATGATTTGGGCCTTCCATTCCTTCACATTACAAAAGTAATAACTACCAGAAAAAGTAAATCATGACAAGATCCATAGAAGTCTATCTTGTAAACAATATTCACTTGAAATAAGTTTGAAAGAAAAATATTCACTTGAAATAAATTACTTTTTATATAAAACAAATAATGCAAGAGACCTGTTGATTATATTAAAAGGAAAAGGTCCAGCAGCACAAGGAATGAGTAACAATTCATGAAGTAACAATATGATGTTAAATATGTTCAGTTGTAATGACTCATGAAGCATTGCATAGTTGAGAATTAAAGGCTAACCAAGTTGCGGGCGTCGATGGATGACTGTCATCATTGACCTATATAAACTTAAAATTTGCCCAATTGTTGGCGCAATGTTTTCTTGCTTATTCAGGAACCAGAGCACTGATTCTAGTCCCTATACATTAAGGGTAACAGTACTTTGTTCCAATGTTATACACATTGTACCTGTTCATGCATTTTGGAACCATTCAATTAGAAGGAAAACTTAGTGTTCAAATTAAATAATCTGATTACTGAACAACAAGATCAATGTCTTGCCTCTCGGACTTCGGACAACTTGAAACGAACAAATATTTCTGAATTCCTTATCGACGCAATGTTCCTTCTTTGCTGAATTACTTAAAACAAACTCTGCAACTTGGACGACAACAAGGAAGTTTGAAGGTAAGAAGTCCATTGAATAAGACAAGTTCATACTTGAGTGTCTTGCTCACCGATAGACCTCTTCTCGTACTACCAATGTAGCCACAATCTGAATATATAAGACGCAGATTACATGCTGCAAATCTCTTCAGAAGAGTCAAATATCACCGTACCAATGCGGGTCATCTGAATGTTTCCTTTGGCTTGGAGAGCACATAGTTTGGGGATTGGAGAGGAATTCAATGCTAATTGTTAACTGCAAGTACGTGCGAACACAAAATCGTAATTTGACATGGGCCAAGGATGGATCAATTGTTGGTTGCTTCACGCATTCATTCAGAGTTCAGAGAGAAGTACTTCTCCACCAATGTAAGCATCAGGACACACTTTATACAGTTTGGTTTGTGCATCGGTCTGGTACTCTTCTTTGTCACTGCCTTCTCTTCTCATCGATGGCAGAGGGGGAGTGCAAGGCCCTGAGCCTCATCTTCCGCATCGCCGCGCTCGGTCTGTTGGTGGCGGCCGCCGTCGTGAAGGCCACCGAGAGCGAGGTGGTCGGTGGTGACGGCGGCACCGAATCGTCGAGCTACTCCTCCGTCTCGTACAGCCAGTACAACGCTCTAAGGTAACAAAGATGCTTGCACATTCACACGTTGCAAATTTGCCAACGTGCATTGAGTTCCGTGGGTGCAGGTACTTCGTGGCGGCCGGCGCGATCTCGGCCGTCTGCTCGGCGGTGGCGTTGTACCTGTTCGCCGTGTGCGCCGCCGCCGCGGTCGGCTCGCTGCCGCTGGTGCCCTTCCTGGACGCCGCCGCGCAGGGCTTCCTCTTCTCGGCGGCCGGCGCGGCCTTCGCGGCCCGCGACGTGGTTAGCCGCACCGGCACGGCGGCTGGTTCGTGGGGAAGCAGCGGGGGAGAAGGCAGCGTGTGTGACGTCGCCAGCGCGTTCTGCGGCAGGGTGACCGTCGCGGGGGCCGTCTGCGCGTTCGCGGCCGTCTCTGCCACCGTCGCGGCGCTGGCCAGGGACGCGGGCCACGGCAGCTCGGGAGGGCGGCGTTGTGAATGGTGATAAGCATGCTCGATCCGCGCCATTGCTCGCGTCGTCCTTTTCACCTGGGATGGAGGAGATTGTCGAATCTTTGAAGAGTGAACGGTGGGATTCAGTTCTTTTTTATTTTTATCGAACCAAGGTACGAGAACTATGCGTCTCATCTTTCATCGTCATGCATGGATGATGTAATAAAAAGAGATGCGGGATTTTTTTTTCATTTTAGCCTCGTTTCATTTCGCAGGAGATCCGACAGATGACCTCTCATGTCACTTCAATTTTTTAATCCGAATCGCGACTAAACAAAACGTGGAGACTAAAATTTTTCACAGGCATGGGTCACCAAATCCATAATAATCACAGTGAAAAATTTATGTCATAATGAAACTTTGTGCTGCACGGTGCACATGCTTAAGCTTAACACTGTATTGAAAAGGTATCATGATGAATATTCTTGTATACAAATTTAGTTTGGACCCGAGCTTTCATATGCACGTTAGGGCGTTGAAACAGGAAGGGACCGGAGCAGTTAATTTTATTTTACCGTGACTACTATATGAAGCTCACCAACAAAAATATGCACATAGTATACTACGCTCGTTTCTAAAATGTAGGTCCTCTTATAGATGGCCAAATGGGTGTCAGTCCTGGCCCAACACCGACCCATTAAGGCACAACCTTTTTCAAGGAAAAAGTCTATTTTACCTCCATGAAATATCCTCTGAACTCTAAAATCGGGTAAACCACCTCCCTCAACTTTTAAAATCATTTATTTAACCTCCCTGGTCCGGTTATAGATGGTTTTGAAAGGCGGTTTTTTCTTTTTAGTTTAAAAATAAATTCAGTAAATACATAATGAAGTTTTTAAACCACAAAAATATCTCTAAGCTTCTAAAAATTCTGAGAAAAATACTAAAGATGGATTAGGACACGAGAAACCCAAATAATATATTTATATCTTGTGAAAATTTCTCTAGAATCTTTAAAAAAATTGATTTAGCTTTAGGAAAATGGGAAAAGTATGCAAAAAATATCTGGAAAACTACCAAAAGATATGAATTGGAATATTTTGGTAATTTTCTAGATTTTTTTGGATATTTTTCCGATTTTCCTCGAGGTAAATCAAAATTTTACAAGATTCTAGAGTTATTTTCACAATATATAAATATATTATTTGGGTTTCTCGTGTTGTAATCCATGTTTAGTATTTTTCTCAGAATTTTTAGAAGCTTAGAGATATTTTTCATGGTTTAAAAACCTCATTAGGTATTTATTGGATTTATTTTTAAACTAAAAAGACAAAACCGTCTTTGAAAACCACCTATAATCGGGTTAGGGTGGTAAAATGAACGGTTTTAAAAGTTGAGGATGGTGATTTACCCAGTTTTGAAGTTCAGAGAGGAAAACTAGACTTCGAGGATAGTTCAGAGAAGTAAAATAGACATTTTCCTTTTTTTTAAACGAAGGCACGACCCTATTTGCTCAGCACGTGGTGCCTACTCATGGGCAATGCTTTCGGCCCAAGCATGGCCCTACATGGTTTTAGCAGTGCCATGCAAGCCCGCTCGGCCTTACGAGCCTGGCAAGTGTGCAGACAAATCATCTCAGAATTTATCATCTTCTTTAGCTCAAAACAAAAATCTGAGAACCTTATGTTCAAAAAAAATCTGAGGACCTTACCACAAATTTGAAGCAGGAAGGTGCATCGAATCATGGTATCTCTCCAACACTGTCACCACAGCAAATTTATAGACAAATCAGGCAACAAATCCAAGATTGAACCAGCAGGAGGATGCCCCTCACCGTCGCCATCAAGGAGGCCGAACCTCGCAGCAAGATCTTGATGCTCAACGCTGACTCGGTTCGGGGGTGAATGGAGGCAGATCAGAGTCGCTCTACTCAAAGGGTTGATTCTTCCTATGGGCTGTAGTAGACAGGAGCCCTCTTGCCATCTTGCACGGAAGAGAAGTCGAGATACAGAGGGTAGGGGCACCGAGGCAGGGCTGCAGGGACTCGATGAATCGGTGGTATAGCCGTAGAGAGACTAAGAATACGAGAAAGATCAAGAGAAATGAAGACGGGAGGAGAGAATGTGCAGCACCGGACCGAGAGGGAATGGCAGAGCCAGGCTAGGTTTTTTTGGTGTTGGCTTATATTTGTTGAACGGTGTAGTGGGCCTTTAACAGGCCAGTGCTGTGATTAATCGTGCAAAACCTGATTGGCACACCGTGGTAAGGGAGAAGGCCAGGCACGGCTCGTCCATCGGGTTAGGCCGTCATAGGCACGATGACAGTTGGGCTGCGCCATTCCTAGGCTGGGCCATGGGCTATGCCGATGGGTCTCAGATCTTATGCCCTCTATATTTTTTAACATTTTAGCTTGTGATTATAGGTTAACGGGCCCACTCACGAGTTCAAACGAGGTTAAGACCTACTCCCTCCATCTTTAAATAACTGTCGCTCGCTTCCTCGAAAAATAATTTTGACTAATTTTATATAAATAAAAAATATTAATACTCATGGTACACAATTAATATCGTTAGATAGATCGTTAAATCTATTTTCATAATAAATTTATTTTGACATACAAATGATGCACATATTTTCTACTAATCTAGTCAAACTTATGGTATGAAAAACAAAAACAACAGTTATGTAGGGACGAAGAGAGACCACCGCACCGCACCGGCAACCAATACTTCAATATGTAGCATAGCAATTGGCCCAAATTTATGAAGTTGCACGAAGTTAGCGCTGCCTTACCCCAGAGCTATGTACCACTATGCTGCACCTTTCACAATCGGCGTCGGCGAGAGTGTGAGACCCATCGCCATCGTCCATCTTTTCCCTACCGTGTGTTTTTGGTTCCACGGACCAAGGTGGACGAAATGGGTCGATCCTCGGCATCTTGGTCGCTACTACAATATTCTTTTCCCAGCGGGCATTTTGATTTTACGAGGCGAGAAAGCGCCCGCCCGCCAAAAGGCCTTCGTTAACGCAACTTTCACGGAGAAGGACACAATGCCCGTCTCACGAAAATCAAGTTTGCACAGCGAGCCGTGGAAAATCAATAAGAAAAAACAAAAAAAACTTCACTGGCGAGCCGAACCCATCGACGCCGCTGCCACTGGATCCGCTGCGTCCGCCACCGTCGAGGGGCCCTTGCGCACCCCATCGCCGGAGAGACCCAAGCTGGCGGATCCACCGCCAAGTGTGGTCCCAGAGCGGGCGCCGCCGATGGAGTCGCCGGATCGATCATGGATCAAGGCAATGACGCCCACGCTTGCCAAATCCGCGGGAAGCGTGGACCCGCGCGTGGGGTCTCCACCAACACGCACTGGCCGCATCCTCCGCCCGAGCCCCGCCATTGCGGATCCGCCTAGGCGCTGCCGGCCATAGCCGCCGGGGCGTCATGCCATCGCCACACACGGCGCGCCAACCACACACCGGGGCACCGCCACCACCATAGGGGCACAACCGCCACGTGCGAGAGGCGAGGGAGAGAAGAGATGGGAGGGCGCCACCAGCGCGGGAGAGCGCCTCCATGGGTGAGGGAGGAGGCCCGCGCACGGGGGAGAGGGAGGGCGCCGCCACAAGCATGAAAAAGAGGGCGCCAGCTGGGTGAGGGGTGGAGTTGTGAGGGAGAGATAAGTCGTGAAACGCTAAGTTCGCCATTTATATAAGCTCGATAGGTGGTATGATATGGGCTTTTGGCTAGGCCTCGGTATGTTTACAGAGGCGGGCCTCCCAAAATGGCATCTATTTTTGGAGGCGGACCTCATAAAAGGCCCGCCTCAAGTAAAACGATATTAGGACCTCCGTAAATTGATTTTATGAGGCGGACAGCCGTGACCACCTCCGTAAATAAAATGCCTACCTCGGTAAATGCATTTTGCGAGATGGTCAATTATGACCCTGCCTCAAGTAAAAAAACGACCGCCCAAATCCTCGTGTGTTTTACGAGACGGTTGGATTTTGTGACCGCCTCAGTTAATGTATGCCGCCCAGATTTGGGTTGTCCCCGTCTCCTGTAAAATGAGCGGACAGGGTCATCCCCTAATGACGGCATTGTTGGGCATTTTCTCTCGTCAAGGGCAGCTCATCTCCTTGTGAGGGCGGGGAGGTAGACGAGGTGTGTGGGCGGCATGGCACTTCGCACTGCAGCATCAACGGCTTGTCCCATGCCAAGCTCATGGCGGTGGCTCCTCCCGTGCCAAGCTCCTGACGGTAGCTCCTCCAAGACCGAGCTCACAATTGGACACGAAGCGCAATTGTGTTGGGTAGCCTGGGGTGGGCGACGAGCGATGCGAGGGTGGCCGACAAGCAACATTGACCTGAGCGCTCTCGAGGATAGGAGGGCGGTTGTTAGGTGCTGATGTCGACATAGTGGGAGATCTTGGAAGGAGAGAGAATAGGAGCTTGAGGATGTTTGCTTTGGATAACAATTGGACCCCACATGACAAGTGGGCCTATTGACTGTTCCTGGTAAAAACAATGCATTTCGCTCATCTCCAACCAAACAAAGAACTATAATAGACCGATTCCTACCAACCAAACATGAGACAGAATGGTGTCATTCCAAAAATTAGGGACAGAACCATCCTATCCCACCACATCCATAAACTAAATACACACATATTTCCTTGTCCCCCGTGTACGAGAACACGGCAACATCCCTATCTGTGTACGAGGTCGTCACTAAAACTGCGCATGCCTCCGCACGCTGCTCGAGGGCCACTGTATAGGGCTAATATGGTATCTCTAGGCTATAGATTTTCGGGTCACGAGATGCGCCCACACGGCCATTGGTGGTCTCCTCAGCCATGAGCTCGTCTGCATGCTCTTCTGAGAGTATTCTCTGCCCCTTAGAGATCTTATGGACGTCAACAACCTTCATCCAAAATTCAAAATCAAGGACAGCAAAGATTGAAGCTGTGGTTTAATCGTTGGCGGGTGTTTAGATTTCTTCTGATTTACTGTTGGGAAAAGTTCTTGTGTGGATTGTATTTGTTGCCTTTTGAT